AAAAAAACGGGCAGCCCGTGCGTTGGCCATTTATTTTTCTTTGTAGTGCTTTGTTGTCCCTTCTTCTTCACCGCTGTTTCCAATTCTTGCCTCGAACTCCTGGCAAATATCTTTGTTCCCGTTCTCCCTGGGCACTCACCAACCGCCATCCCCACCCACGTTCAACCTTCCCTCACCCACTATCCCCCAACCACTGGGCAGCACACCAGCGTTCGTTGACAAAGTGTCAAGCAGCACTGGTAAACGACGCCACGAAATAGCGTTAGCAAAAAGAAACTAGGGCGTCACTCAAATGCAGCCGAGCCGAATTCTAGTAGCTGTCTTTGTAATTGCTCTTCGAACACAGAAAGCTTCAATCCGAACATAGAAAGCATCTGATTGAGCATCGAATTTAAAATTTTTTTCACATTTGCTCTGTTACGAGAGGCGTTGCCAACAGTAACCAAGTTCATGTGTTTGAGTATAAAAATTTTCGAATTTTTGGCAAACTTGCCGTTAACTTATTATTAGTATGTCTATAATTGCTGATATTCGAATTAGGTCAGAAATAAACTTACGATTTTCGGTGTAAGGACTGGGTGCAGCATAATCCGAATACATGCCACCAGGTGTCATTGGAGTATACGGCTGTCCTGTAATCATGCACGTGTAACAAATTTCATAGATATGCTTCAGAAGTGCTCTCAAACAATTACAAGATTTCATCGCCATGATGTCAACATTGGAACGATGAGGAAAGGCACTACTTACCAGTGGACGATTCTGGATTGTAGCGAGGTGTATGAGCTGAACCAGACGGTACACTGAACGAATCAACACTGGGCATTTCATCGTTTATCGTATACGCTGGTGTCGTTGATGGATCCCAGGCTGATGGTGTGCGTGCACCGTCGTATGAGGGTGTCATTGCACCATAATGTGGCGTGCGCGCTAAAATATGTGCATAAGCGTAAAAGTATGCTACTGCTTTTTTTTTTTTGCAATATACACATTTTGAAGAGAAGCTGCATACAAAATCGAACAGACGATGGGTACTAACTGGATGTATGCATATAGCAGCATCTGGTCGAGGATATTTTAAATAGTATCACTAAACTCGGTACATTCCCAATTTTTGCCGTCTATGGAGGCTGCTTAGGGAGCCGGAATACATTGCATTACAGATAAGAAAAGATCTATTGGATATCGAGCCACATCCAGTACTCAAAACCCTATTAAAGTTTACTCAACACACTCCCATAAAATGCCAAATACTAATCTAGTCTAAACAACTGAAAGATAATACGAATGGCCGAAAGTCTGCAGCAAATTTAACTTTCCTCTCCGAAACGATGAAGCAAGATAGTATAAGAAAAAGGGTGCCAGAACCACCAGAACGACAAGCATTCCGTAATATAAGGCTTTCGGTTAAAATAACGACGAAAAGCTTTCGAAAAAATTAAAGATCCAAAAAAAATAAAACTGTCTGACACGTACTGACCTCCATCATGCATCGGTGTCTGTGAGCCATACATCGGTGTCTGAGAGCCGTACATCGGTGTTTTACCACCACCAGTGTACATCGGTGTACGACTGTCACCAGACGGTGTCCTACCCAGTAAACCACCAAGCGCTTCACCACCAGGCATTGCATCACCAACGATCATTATTCGCGAACGATCAACACTAATTGTCTAAATTTTACAAGTATTAAGAGTATTTTACAAAATCCTAACTTATTCGACCGGAAGGATCGTGCACACCTCTACAATATGAATTGTAGTGACATGTGATCACTGGAGAAAACAGAAGAGCTAACGCTGACTGGGACCGAGACAAGCAAACGAGCGGAAAATACTTCGAATATCTTCTTATGACCACAAAAACAATCAAAAGGCCAGTTTTACATGGATGACCTCAAGTTATATACGAGAAGTTCAAGGACTCCAAAAACTCTACGCTAGATATGTGGAATGTAGGATATCAATGCGGTTACGTTAAGAATGTAAAATTTAATTTGTGGGGCACTAACTGCCTCACTAACAATCGCTAAACATCCCGAATTTACTAGTAAATGACTGTTTGGGCTAGTTTCGACGTGATGGCGAAACACATCGAACAGATGGTGAGTACTAACTGAAGATATGCAGCTTAGGATCGAACAGCCAGGCCAAGCTGTGTCCCATATACGAGAGCATCAAACATCATTACTAACACTGGGCCCCCTCCCTACTGACTGCCTCGGCATTTTGACATTGTCAGTGCTTAAATAAGTGAAACAAATCAAACAGCCTAATAAGTTTGTTCGTTCTTAGCACGCAATTCTGGAACGAGGTAGTCTCGCGTAAGAACAGTAACCTTGCAACTGGAATGAAGTTCAACACGAGCGGTTTGTTCAGTAGCATCTTTCACAATGCCAAAATATCCCTTCAGTGGTCCCTGAGTGATACGTACACTTTTTCCGATTATTTGATTATCACGTCGAACACGATTCTGCACATCAAAAGCACCGGTGCTTGGTACACCTATGGAGCTGCCTTCTGCAATAAATAAAACTTTATTTTTAAATTGCCTTATTTTAAATTGTTCTTATTTTTTGATGCGTTTTTTGCAGCTATGCACTGCAGAAAAAGCATACTGACGAGGGGTTGTCTGTGTGTCCGTGTGTGCGTCTGTCACGCTTTTTCATCTCAAGACCTACAAAAGCTACAGGGCTGAAACTTTGGGAACTTAATCTACATGCACCTATGGGTCCCAATCCCCAAATCGGGCGCCATTACCCGTGTGGTACCCACGTAAGAGCCTGCCAAAGTTTTTTGCGGGCAAGCTGCTAATTCGGGAACCAGAAGTGCATGGGGGCTGAAATTTTAAAGCGATGTTCCCCGTCTAAGTATGTATTAATGAGCTCAAACTCTGCCCGTGGGCAAGCGTGGTACCTACGCACGGGCCAGTGAAAGTTTCTTATGGGTAAGTTGCTAACTCGGAAACGTGAGAAGTTAGAAGACTGGAATTTCGAAGGGATGTTTCCTGACAGCCCTGACGGCCAATCTGAAATTCTTTTAGCTAGAAGCATCTGCCAGAAAAACTAGTGCTGTTAGCGACAAAAATCTGCGGGGAGCTATGCAAAAAACGCATCTTCGCACGAGCAGCCCGTGCGTT